GGGTGGCACTGGGGGTGTCATTGTCACCGTGGTGTCACCAGGGCTTGGGTGGCACTGGGGGTGTCATTGTCACCGTGGTGTCACCAGGACTTGGATGACGTGGGGTGTCACCGGGGGGCTCAGGGTGACCCCACGGTGTCACCTGCAGCCTTGTGGGTGTCCCCACGCTGTTCCCTCCATGTCCCCACAACCTCCCCACCATGTCCCCCTACTGTCCCCATGTTGACCCCTCAATCTCCCCACAATGTCCCCATGTGTCCCCACACTGTCCCCTGAATCTCCCCGCCATCTCCCCACGCTGTCCCCTCGCTGTCTCCACCGTGTCCCCACAATGTCCCCTCAATCTCTCCACCATGTCCCCATAATCTTCTCTCAATGTCCCCACGCTGTCCCCTCACTGTCCCCACGCTGTCCCCTCAATCTCCCCACAATGTCCCCACGCTGTCCCCTCGCTGTCCCCTCAATCTCCCCATGCTGTCCCCACGCTGTCCCTTCAATCTCCCCACAATGTCCCCACGCTGTCCCCTCGCTGTCCCCTCAATCTCCCCATGCTGTCCCCACGCTGTCCCTTCAATCTCCCCACAATGTCCCCACGCTGTCCCCAGGCTGTCTCCTCAATCTCCCCACACTGTCCCTACACTGTCCCCCCATATCCCCACACTGTCCCCTCACTGTCCCCACGCTGTCCCCTCAATCTCCCCACGTTGTCCCCTCACTGTCCCCACGCTGTCCCTTCAATTTCCCCACAATCTCCCCTCAGTCTCCCCGCGCTGTCCCCACCGTGTCCCCACACTGTCCCCATGTGTCCCCTCGGTCTCTCCTCAATCTCCCCACAATGTCCCCACACTGTCCCCTCAATCTCCCCACGATGTCCCTGCAATCTCCCCTCAGTCTCCCCACGCTGTCCCCATGTGTCCCCACAATGTCCCCGCACTCTCCCCACACTGTCCCCACCGTGTCCCCTCAGTCTCTCTTCAATGTCCCCACACTGTCCCCTCAATCTCCCCACGATGTCCCTGCAATCTCCCCTCAGTCTCCCCACGCTGTCCCCTCGTGTCCCCTCAGTCTCCCCTCAATCTCCCCACGCTGTCCCCTCAATGTCCCCACCGTGTCCCCACGCTGTCCCCTCGTGTCCCCCAGGTGAGCAACCCTGCCACGCGCATGCTGAAGACGGCGGCCGCCCAGGTGGGCACGGCGGGGGCGTCCCCCGCGGCCACCAACGCGGCCACGCGGCCCATCATCACCGTGCACAAGTCGGGCACGGTGACGGTGGCACAGCAGGCACAGGTGGTCACCACCGTGGTCGGAGGGGTCACCAAGACCATCACGCTGGTCAAGAGCCCCATCTCCGTGCCGGGGGGCAGCGCCCTGGTGAGGGGACATGGAGGGGACAGCAGGGGGACACGGCTTTGGGGACAGGGGG